TAAATGAAAAGGCATGTTTGAATTGCTGGTATATATGTATAAATCATATTTACATGAACAAAGGATTGCAAGTAAGTTGAAATACGACTTAGCTGTTATTTATTTATTTAGTTAATGTTACAGTTTGTGATGCTGCAGTGACTTCCTTGTTTGGAACTACAGGTCTAGACTTCTGGATACGTTTTATTGGTGCAACCTAATGCATGAACTAGTTGTTCTTAAGAACTTTGGAAGGACTTCGCACACAAAGGAAGTCATGGATTGACGAATAACTGGTGCAACACAATCCTGAGGCAGATATCATAAGGTTACATTACAGTTTTACAGTATATCTCAGCCTGAACGTAACTGTTGAGCAACTCCCGGAACTGCTATCGATCAATGAAGAGAGAGCCCACACCCCTGCTGAGGTTAGTGAGAGCCTCAGAGCTGATAGGGACCCTGAAGGGAGCAGGGATTCATTGTCTAGTTCAGGGACACTCCAGCTCGTTGGCTTTGGTCTTGAACATTTGCCTTCTGGTTAAGTGCAGATTATCAGCTCTCCAGGCCATGTAAACTTGGACAAGATGTGCCACAGTTCATTTTCCGTCCCTCTCTATTCTCAATTGTTTCACTGTTTCATGGTTGGATTTAAACCAAACTGCGGTTGTTACACTTCTGATTCAAGCCTTCGAGCAAGTATGCATATAAAGATCTCATTGCCCTGCCAAACACAAATTAGGAAAGTCACAAGGTCCTTTTTTTTTAACAAGGATTACATGGATCTCATTTGTTTCTTATAAAAGATGAATATTTGTATCAAGCTCCATTTGCACCAAATTATAGGACATGCTTCATGATAAGTGGACTTGATTTATCTTAGTGAGCTATGTAATCAATTTTTAAGAAAATCATACAGTAGAGCTGAGTAGAAATTGCTCATTGGATGGGTGATATCCCAAAACATCTAATAAGAGGAAGCTAGATGTTGTTGAGACTCAAAAATAAAGAGCAGCCTCACAATCTAAAGCTGAGAACTCCCATCACTCCCAAATAGATTGACAGGTCTTTTTAATACTGGCTGTAACACTGGACAACAACTGAATCCAAGTTATTAATGTTTGCTGATGCTGTTAAGGTCTGTTTACATCAATGTGAGGACGACTCAAGCCGTCTGAAGTGATGCATTGACCCCTCTGTGGTGTGAGTTATAAAGCCTTAACACTAAATTGTGCCATGTTTCAGGACTTTTCTGAGTTACTGAAATATGATACTCAAATGAAAGTTGTATTCTGCGACACAATGTAGTTCTAGGGGGAGGGAAGTCAGTGCCCCCCTAACACTGACTTTGGACCCCCCTGTGGCCCCCCTGAAAGAAAAAAAAAGTTTATGATTAAACGATTTCTTGGCTGACGGAATAGGCGGAACTAACGCTATTTGTCATTCTAGTCGGACCCATTGGAGCGTAAAAACTGTAACTATAAGTATCTGAAATAAATATGTGTACTGAAACAAATACCAATAACTGTATTGCATTGTTTTCTTATGCGCAATTACTTTATACTGTCTTTGTCTTTGTCGTCCTGCATTTATTGTGCCCCCCTCAGAACATAACTGGCCCCAGCCTGGCCCCAGCCTGGCCCCCCCCCCCCAGTCAAATCGGTCTAGAACCGCCACTGAGGGTAGGTAAGAATGGAGAAACCAGCTCGAGTGCGCTAGAATTTGAAAGTACGCAGCCGGAAAAATTCTGCCTCTTCCTTCAGACTTCCTTACAGAGCCCCTCCTTCAACACACACGAACGCGCACATGACCAATAAGGGCACGAGATAAGTGTGTGCACGAGATGGAAGGCTGACAGGCAGGTAGGCCATCCAGTTATCTGCCGCGGGCCGGGGTAGATAACTGGAAGTGAATTACCTACCCTACCTTTAACTTAAGTCCTCATTGACATCAGGACAGAAGAAAGCCTACATATATTTTGTCGCAACCTGAAAACCCATCTCGGCCATATATTAAATTACAACAATTTGAACTTAATGAGTTCTGCTTATTTGAAACTAAATGCACTTCAATTGTTTGGCTTATCTGAGACTAATACCTCTATTTGTCTTGCTGTTCGGAGTTTGTATCTTAATGGTTTATTCTACATATTGTAAGTCACTTTGGATAAAACTGTCTGCTGACTGTAATGTAATGAAATTAAATGAAAGAAAGAGAGACTTCAAACATGGTTGTCATTTGTCATGTCAAGTTTTAACATGCTGTTGTCTAACCATTACGCTGTTTTCTGAGCACCAGTCCCTCAGCGTTTAACTCTGCTTTCCACAGGAAATACTCAGTGGCCTTTCTTACAACCTCTCCTAACACTACCCGTGACTCGCCTCAACCCCAAATAGCTTCTTCGCCACTTTAACACCTTTTCTTTGACCCCATTCTTGATGCTGTCACTGCTTTTGAGAGAGAAAAAACTACCATTACACAATATAATATCATCATTGATCATTTTCTTTATATATAACTGCACTCTTTGCCAAAAACTCACTTAAAATCTTTAGATAATAATCTCTGACTTGTCATCAGTCATTTTTCTTGAATCACATTCTTTCATTATAGGTGAACCCTCACTAGATCATCTCCTTGATCCTGTGAACTGTGTCTGTCTCTTAAGTGCTTATACAGTACTTAAGAGTCAGGACAAATTATATCTTTAGACACAATTTTAGGAAGCATAAAAACCGCTCTTGGCCTTAGTACACCAGCAGATACCAGCACATTTCTAAATCTGCATTCTTGCTAATGCGTTTGACCTTCAATTTGTCTTGTTCTTGACTTCAGCAGAGCATGATGCTGCTACGATTTGTTGCCGTTTGCTTTTTCAATACAATATATAACCACTAAATTCAAAAACTCAGACAGCAGCGACTCTGCCCTGGTGGTCTTTTGGTGTCCTCTCTGATCTCCTTTCCCATATGGAGCCAATTTGAAAGATGATCATTAGGATGATTGTTTTCCATTAAGAGATATTTCCACAATTAAACTTTTTATATCCTCCAATGATCCACGTATTAATCCCTCCTTGTTGAGATCACCTTCTCTCTCTGTGCTAGATTAGCTTCAGAATGTATTTAAAAGCTTTAATCATCGGTTTAATACGTGACCAACAGGTGCAATAGTTACAAGTTCAAAACATTTCCATTAGGAGAGTGCGACAGTTTCAAATGTGTTATGTTTGTTATTAGTAAAGCCTGCGCAAGTTTCGTCAAGTTGGTCAATGTTTTCTAAATGCTACACGTGTTGTCAAATTAGTGAAGATGGTTCTTCATTTCCGTGTGTTTCGGCATGTTTTTTTATTTTTATTTGCATGGTTTTTTAAAGTGCAGCGCGTTACTACTAGGGCCGTAGCTCGTTTGCACCTGTCACAGTAGTTTTAAAGTGTAATTCTGGAGGCATTACGACTCCACCATCCCATATTGGTGAATTAATAATTTCTATGAACAGTTGAACTTTGGAGATGTAGCAGTTTTCCACTCTGCAGCACGGGCAGAAAGAGAGAAGTGCTGAATCCTCACAAGCACTGAAGGACATTAGTACCCTGGAGCCTTGCCTGGGTGGGTCTGTCTGTTAGCAGTTAGCAGTGTCCCCAGCCAGCGTTTAGCTCCAAGGGCGGGCTCTACAACAATATTACTGGGCCAAGTAAGGAAGGACCTGCTCCCAGATGCTTGAGTGGATGAATAATGACACTGTAACACGGCTTCTCTCCCTCTCTCTCTCTCTCTGATAATGAGGAACAGAAGAGCAGACCCTCCCCGAGGCACAGCACCTGGACAGGCCTGCCTTCCTGTCTACATCAGCCTCTATCTCTCTCAGGAGAGGCAAAGCAGGAGAGTGAGACTTTGGCCGTATGCCAGGATCTCCGTCTCACTTACACTCAATCACACTCCGTTTGGTCTAATTGGGAAATTATGAAACATCTTATAAAGTTACTGGACCATGGTAGAGCTTACCAGACCCCTTTAACCTGCTTTCTCAAAAACGTTTTCATTTGTTTCTTTTATTCAGGCATCTTAAGCTTGATATATATGCCCCCTGGCTTCCTGTCTCCACACCTTTATATTTCCTTCAGCTTCTCACTCCTCTCCCTGCAGAGAAACTTTGCCAAGTGGAGTCAATTAAAACTGTACATCTAAGTGAGAAATGTCTGTTGGAGAGTTGGTGCGTATGGGTTCATAACTGCGCTTAGTGCTTCTTTGTGAAAAGTGTGAATTTGTGTTATTTTCAACTGTATGTGTGTGAAGGGGCATGTCTGGTTGGTGTGTGTGTGTGTGTGTGCAAATGTCCGTGTGAGTGTAGCAGAGGCTCCCATGGGGCCTGGCAGTATGGCGCTGCACACACCTCCTGCGAAAACGCCTCCAATGGGACCGGGACAGCTGTGGCCAACCTATACCGCTTCATGGGCCATAACAAGCCTTATGACACACACACAGACACATACACACACATTAGTCCAATCCTGCCAACTCTGTCTGTCTGTCTGGAACTCTCTCTCACACAGAAAAGAAAAATCACCCTTTTCTCTATGGCTTTTTCATGTAGTCTCTAGCACAAGTGATGCTTCCCGACATATGTGAAGTTATTTTTTATTATTTATTTTTTCATTCATACATCCCACTCTTTCTGCCTCCCACGCAGCTACTTGGTGTCCTGCTCAAACACGAATGCCAAGAGAGGTTGGGAGTTATTAAAGGAGTTATTTTTCAAAAACGAGACAAAATACACAATGAAGAAATAAATTACCAAGCAACACACATTCATTCATCTTGTCAGCGGTTGTATACATGCACATGAGAGACATTTCACCTGACAAGCACAAGCAGCTCAGGAGAATCCACTCAAATCTGAATTGTAAGGAAAAGGTCATACAGGGTTTTTCTTCTCTCATGAACAAAAACAAATTCATGATCAGATTCACAAAATTGTAAAGACAGAGGTTTTCTTTTAATTTCATTTATTTAACAGTCACCAGATGATGAGATACATTCTCTTAAAAAAGAAATAGACAACAAAACTGATATTATTTTGAGATTTTTAAAAACTATTATACAATATTCTTAATATATAGATTTTGTACAAAATAAAAGTCAGTAAAAGGGGCAAAGGGAGAGTGACATCTTTAAAAAACAGAGAAATAAAAGAAAGGAAAAAGGAGTTGACTCAAACAACTACCACATTTAGGAGTGACAAAGACCAATCTTTTTCATAAATAAATATAGGAAAATTAGACATCATATATAGCTCTCTTTCCAATAGTAGGGCTTCGCTAAAGGTCTGTAGCATAGGTTAACATAACTGCTTTGTGTGGCCCATTTGCTTAGAAAATTCCACACATTTTCCACACAGAGATTAGCTGGAACCAGCGTGACTAAAAGCCCTGAAATAAAGGGATTTATCTCAATAATGGGTCTGAAAGTCTGCGCCGTGCTTGACCTTTGGCTGTAACAATAACCCTCGCCCAGCCCTTACCCCCCCATCTTTCTCTTTGTGTGCCGTACTTGGTGCAAACCAAGCGCAGAGAGTCTCCTTAAGGGAACTGTAGAGAATAGGGGTCTTTTTTTCTCTATCTCTTTCAAGGCCAGTGAGAAACAAGCTTGAGACTCCCCCACTCACAAACAGAGACAATTGAGGAGAGCGCGTGTGGGAGGGGGTGCACGGTATCAGAGCGTAGGAAGGTCATCCTGCACTATCGACAACATCTCACCGTTGAATCCCGTCCTTACACTATGGATCTTTAAGCGCGGTCCTTGTTGGTCCTTAGAAATTCAACAATACAACAACAACTACAAGACAACAGAATAAACACACAAAAAGTGGATGTGGATGGCTTGACGCAGACTCATGCCACTTAGATTGGCTGATTGTTTTCTCCTTAAGTCTCTCCCTTTGCACCTATTTGAAGCTCAGGGTATAAGCAGTGGAAACATGGGAACAAGGGGGATACAGAACACAGAGATTGGAGATGATTTACAATACGAATACACTACCTGTTTTCAGACACACACGCCCAAAGAGTATGGAAACCGAGGCTAATGATTGATTCCACTGCAACAACAGTTTCCCATTTTTTCCCTTTTGTACCCTCTATGAGCAGGCAAGTGGACAGTGACATTGGCCCCTCTCAGAGCAGGACAGCAGGCAGAGTGACTCGGCGTTAATCACAGTTTTGTCTCGCTTTCTTGGCACGTTAAGTCGAAGAGGCGAGCGGCTGCCTGAGCGGCCGGGGTGAGAGATGGGAGGACAACGCGTTAGATTCTCAATAATGACGCATCGCTGCCGCATCACTTTGGAGATTAAAAGCAAGATGCTGAATTTCAATCAAGCCACATTAATGGCTTGGTGTGAGGAATGGTCACTTTGTCTCCACTGGCAGGCGGGGGGAGAGAGAGAAACTGGCGCGAGAAGCCCAGGTGAGACAAGGTGATACAACATTTTTAATTCACCAAATTGCATGCTAGCCGGTAATGATGGAATCCATTTAACGATGTAGTGACAATATTCTCTAACCGAAAGGCAAAAGGGCATTGACAAAATGTTACATCCAAGATAAAGTCAAAGCGCCAAGGACTAAATGTAAGTAGCCGTATATAACAGCGCTGATCTGTTGAGGATGTGAATGTCATTAGCATATTAATGGTAAACTTGTTCTAGATCTGATTTCTTTTTAAATATGGTGTACAATATATTGTAATAATTGTTTTTATAAATGTGGTACAGTGAGGGATTGTTATACTTGTAAACTTGATACTTGTTTCACTTAATTTTTTATAATGCTGCTACTTACATTTATATACTTGGAATGTGTAATTATTATTTGATTTTAAATGTTTAGTATGTATGCCACTATTAAATACTGATTTTATTTTGTCTATCATTATTGTCTCTTTGCTGTAACAATGTCAATTTCCCCTCTGTGGGACTAATAAAGGAATTCTGATTCTGATGAAGAAGAGGAAACGTCTAAGGTTTTGAAAAAAGATCAAAAAGACACTAAGGACATTTGGCAAAAAAAAAAAGATTGTCCTCACCACCTCTGAAAATGAGTCCAATTTTAATTCAATGCCAAGACGTGTCACTTTATAAACTTGTGGAGCTTGTGATTTCCTCATTTGTTGCCGTCAAACGCTGCAGCCACCTTACAAAGCATGTCAAGCTCTGCCTGCGCTGCTCTGAGAACGCGTTGCACTGGTAGATGTGACCCACTTGCAATAAAGTGCATTGAGAGTTCAGTTCTCATGGTAGATGAGAAGCGATGTCGGGCAAGCACAGCTGAGAGATTGTCATCACAGTATAGCTGAAGAAAAACCTAACGTGACATGAGCTAGATCTCTAGGGGGGGGGGGGGCGGAGGGAAATCAAAAGAGGGTAGGGTGACAGAAGAATTGTCAAGACAACAAAGAGGGGGAAGTGTTGGTCCTATAGTCGCTGTGTCAAGTCAGGAATGTCACAGTTGAGCACAGTGCTTCATGGGTAGTTCATTTAGGGTTAAGGAAGTGTTGTCATAGACTTCAGCCAGGCACCCAGCTCTGGTTGCTATGGGCTTGTTGTGGACCCGTCAGACCGCTCATCCCCATCCCCATGCCCATGGTCACACCCATGCCCATACCCATGCCGATGCCCACCCCCTGGGCAAGGGAGCAGTCAAAGTTAAAGTCCATCTCCTCCGCAGAGTCCATAATGTCATGGAGGAGGATGGAATCCACATCGCAGTCCAAGCTGCCGTGGAACATGTCAATGTCCAGGTCCGCCGGTAGTCTCTCGTGGGGGAGAGGTTGGTGATAGCCAAGGTAGTTGCTACCAACACAACCATTACCAATCCCCTGGCCATGATGGTATGGTCCGTTAGTCATGCCTTGGTGTTGTGGGTCTGGGTAATGGTTGTGACGGGGGTGTGGGGCGGCGGCCACGTGGCAGGAGTCCTGGGGCAAGCCGATCATACCTGCTGGGTTTGGGGGGAGGGTGGTGGAGGCCGGGAGGTGGGCATGTGAAGGGGGGCTGTACAAGAAGGGAGCTTTGTGGTTGTAGGTCTGCAGCTGATTGCTGTTTCCGCGGGGGGTGAGGGCCACAGCCCGGGGCGGTGTGTGGTTATGGCTCTGGTTGAGGTTGTGACCGTTGTGAGCGAGGCTGTGAGGTGAGTTGTGGTTGTGGTTAGTGACATTGTTGTGGTTATGACTACTCGTATGGCTGTGAGTTCTGTTATGGCTATGAGCCGAGCTGTGACTAAGAGGTCCATTGTGGCTGTGGCCATTGTGGAGGCCAGGGAGGTGGCTGTGATGGTTGGAGCCTACTCCATTACTCGTTTGACCCATCATAGGATGGCTTTCCCGCTCCTGTCCCAGCATCATGTCCTTAGAACAGTACTGCTGCCTAGCTGGAACCCCTGTTAGCAGGCTCTGCAGGGCGTTGGTGCTGGAGTAAGCCCGCATGGTTCCAGAGAAACTTGCCGGCTTGTTCTCCTGAATGGTCTGCATGGGTGAGTGGTGGCGTAGCATCCCCATGCTTGTTGCACCATAGACGCCGGCCCCATAGGGGCTCTGAGCCTTCACCCCCGAGCTGTAGTGGTAGACGGGGGTTTGGTGCTTATGCCTGCCAACAGCTGAATGCTGCTGATGTTGCGATGGGTGATGATGATGATAACTATCCTCCATCAGTTGCTCATCCAGGCTGATGGCACCTGTCAGGTTAGCTAGCTGGGGCAGCTGCTCGAGTGGAGGACAGAGATTACCGGCCCCCCTGGATGGAGAGTGGGTACTGGTCGGAGAGGGGTAGAGGTGGGGGGAGGTGGAACAGGACAGGCCACTCTCCTCTGGCTCCTCTGGCTCTCCTTCTGCGAGGATGGGTGACAGACGGCCGCTCAGTGTGGACGCTGACGAACTCGCCCTGGAATGGAGGTCCGTCCAAGCATCAAACTCTCCGTCTGTCCCACATGAACCCCCAGTTGCTGGGAGGCCTTTATGTGGTGGGCTGCCATGGTCGGGGGAGCCCTGAAGCCCAACCACAACAGACCCTGCTCCTATCCCAGGCCGGCCAACCCTTTTGCCCCGGACGCGGCCTTTGCTTTTTAGGTATTTGGTGCTGTTGTCCATGGAGACCGCTCGCCGGCGGGGAGACTTGCCCATCTTCCCTCCATCTGGGTTCAGCATCCACCAAGAACTCTTCCCTGTTCCCTCATTCTGTACCCTGATAAAACGTGTGTGGAGGGATAGGTTGTGTCGGATGGAGTTCTGCAGAGAGATAAGAGAGACACACACAGTGAGGGAGGGATCAAATTAAATACACATCACTTATCATTTGTACATAAAGCACTTTTCGGAGATAAGCACTTCATATGAGCACATTAGCATAAGATTCATATAAAATGTTCCAGAGGAATATAGGATTTCTTGACATCAAACGTTAAAATCAATAATGCACACAAACATACTTGTAAATCATTCAGTCTATATACATGCTCAGTCATAGGGAAATGTGCCAAAATATCGGGTCTCTTCAACGTCTATTATTAAATATACAAAACACTCAGACGTATATGCACAGCCCTCCTTGCAATCAGTGTCAACTGGAGTCAGGAAATTGGGTGTGCGTTTAAAAATACAAACATGTATGAAGGAAAGCTGCAGCTGGCACATAGCGCGACCCTGTCAACCTCAACCAACCTGAAGCGACCTGAGACTCGGTTATGAGACACTCTCCCTATGTACGTCAATCCTCCCACTTTCATTTCCATCAATCCATCTGTCCTCCTCTACTTCTCCTTTCAGCCGGGCTGATGTAAGCTGCTGTGGTTGGGCGTACTGTATGTTTGAAGTCGGTGCCAGTCTGGCTTAGTGCCAGCCCTGTCTCTTTTGCTCTCATAGGTTGAATGGGGGGGGATGTATTGGAAGAATGAGCCAGGAGCAAGGAAGGCTAATGGATGTATCCCACCTTCCGACAGCTACCTTCACTCCCCATCTCCCTTGTTCTGTCTTTATCATGATCTTCTTTTCTCCTTTGAGTACTACATATTTTCTATTTTTCTTATTTCACACACCTCTTTGCACACAACAGTCATTTTCCACTTCTGCTTTCAATCTCTGTGCCTTCAATTATACAGTGTGTCATCAATTATTTTCCCATTATCTTCTACACTGGCATTGTACAGTCACCGACTCAGTAATTCGTAGGATATAGTGTCTTTTTAGTATCATTTTACTATCATTTATCTCAAGGGTGCTGAATGCTTACATTTCCCGGTGTGCAACAGAGTCTGTCGTTGCAATTCTGCTCTTTGTTGTGCGTGAGGCATGTTGACGCTCAGGAAAAAATATCAAATCAAAAGCACCTCCCATGGTTCGGGAATATACTGGGACAAAAGATTGTTTCAGATTGAGGGGTACTTCTACCATCTCCATTATGTTGCGGATTATTTGTATTCACACTGAATTGCACGGCAGGGAAACAAATAAATCAAATTGCGGCAGAGAACACATAAATGGGAGGCGCACTGAATTCAGGTGATCTGTGAATGCCTCCTTGGGTTATCTCGCTGTGACACCTCCGGCATTGGGTAGCCATGGCAACCGGGTAAACGTGCAACTGCAGAACTATATCATATTGTGTTGCGAGTCAAGAGAGGGAGAGATGGAGGGAGAGTGGGGGATGGGGGAAAAGGATGCAAGAGGAGGCGGTTGTTTGATGCTGCTGCTCCAACACTAAACAGCCTTTCATCTCGGCAGTGCAGGTCCGCAGGGGATGCCCGCTCCCCGCTTCTGACGGCTTCTCTACGTGCCGCGCCAACTCCCCGTCTCACCCCGGCTGGATCATCCACCCATCATACCACTCCAAATCATCCCCATCAAGTCGCGTACATGCCTGAATTAAAACATATGTAAGCTTTCATGCCGGTCGTAAATGGGGCATCTTTCAGAGGGCTGAACCACTTCATGCTGCCACTCTGTGTGACCTGTCTGATTCAAATCGCAATTTATCCCCGTATGAGGGAAGAGCAGCCCCATTGAACTTGGAGGGATTTGTCATCATCCCAAACCCTCTTTAGCTGATGAATCCACCTGCCACAGAGATTTGAGAGATTTCGGACTGTGGCCAGCCACGGCATCATCATCATCATCATCATCGTCATCATTAGATGCTGGCTTCCTGTTGTGTAGTTTTCCACCACATGTTATTCTTTGTCATCCTGTTTGTGTGTTTTACGATCTAATAATAGCTCAGGTTGCAGGTGGTTCAACTGTGGGTGTGGTTCTGTCCGCCTCCTGTTCCATGAGTCTGAGTCAGGGGCAATTTGGCCAGCCTATGGCCCTCACGCCCCCGAAACAAGCAGTCGCCGCTAATCCCCCTCCATCCCCGAGTAATCCCAGACAATCCTGGGCTAATCCCAAATTGATTCAGGGGCACTCCCAGCTGGGTGTCTCTCACAGAGCCATGCCAGGTCACCAGGGACACAGCGGGCAGGCTATGATCCAATAGATGTACAGCATAAGGGAAGTTTAAGATGTGGGAAATAGGGTCGCTATAAACCCCTAATGGAAGTAGTGTTAAGCCATTCCTGATGTTAGTGTGTGCGCATTTTAGTAGATTTTTGTCATCTGATAACTAACTGCAATTTTGATGCCTCCATCGAATCAACTACCTTTACCCTGTGTTCTGTCCTTGAGGGTTGGCTTTGTCACATTTCTACCCCTGCGGGTTGAATAGAATAAAATTGAAAACTTTATTATGTATTAAATATTCATAAAATGGAAATTCACTTTCAGCCCCCTGGCTTGCTGAGGCAGACGGATGAAGCCCACAGAAACATACAATGACAGAGAGGAACACACACATCACACGCCTGGGTCCAGGAAGCTGCTTCCTATTCAAATCATACCCCTTTAATACAATGGGCCTAGTGGAGAGGGTTCTAAATAATGAATGAACCGGTGGCTGGGCTTATGCAGAGAGATGCATTGCATGGTCCCATAATACTGAGGAGAACAGACAGATTCATAAGTAGAGGTTTGACTTCTTTGTGTTGTTATCAGGGATATTTACCCTCCTTCTAAGTCTCTAAACACAACTCAATCAGGCGGAAAGGGGTTAACCTGGACATAAAGTTAAAAGAGGATAAGGGGAAGAGTTTATGGACAAATCAAGCCAATTAAGGTGAATGAGCTTCTATTAGATGCAGGAAAAACAATCAGCTTGGGTTCAACTCTCATTAAGACCTTCAAATCCTGATAGCTGATTTAGATATTTAGACAACAAGCCACAGGACGGCCCTCTCTGCACAAATCTGACATGTTGACACTTTTTGTCCAACAGGTGGACTTGGTAGAAAGAGGGTTTTTTTATTGCTTAAGAAAGGAGACAGAATCAGAAAGGAACTTCTTGTGTGAATTTGGTCGAACAGATTATTGCCCAATTTTTGTGGATGATCACATTCATCCATAATAATCTCTTGAAGAACCATTTATATGGCTCTTGGAAGTCTTATAATACCAATCAATTGTTCTCCTGTTTTCCCTCCCTTCTCTCATGCAAACTCAGTGTGATTCAGGGACTGGTGAGGCCCCTTTAATGTTGGTAATCAATGGAGTTTAATGGCTATCACTGCTGAGGCTTAGCACACATCAAAGTCTGTCTGCCTTCACAATCCAGCTCTATTATAGAGGCCAATATGGGTGCTCGATATGCCCACCTTTCACTCAACAATCTTTAACTGCCATTGGCTTGTCAGTTGAGTGACTGTGCCCACTTGTGCATATTGGCTAGTTGCCCAATGTGTCCCTCTGTTGCCTCTCATGTCAGTCAGGCATTATCATTGGGAGTATTTGAGTATGGGGGCAGGGGTTCGTATGTTGGGCCCAATGGCTCATCTTGGGTAACTCGACTGGCATGGGGGTAGATGTGCTTTAGGGGGCAGCAGGAGGTGGAGGCGCCTGGGGGTAAAGGGTGGGAATATGGAGGTACCACAAGAGGCCCATCCACGCCACACAAAGGGGTGCTCTCAAAATGCCCCCCATCCCCCCCTATTACCCCCCATCAGAACCCACGCTGGGGGTTTTCCCGCTCACACACCCACACACATGCTCACACACAGAGAGGCAATGAAACAGGTCAAATGGTTTATAGGATCCATCTTGTGGCGAATGTGCACTCATTCAAACAGAACTGAGTGACGAACTAAAGCACTGTGAGTGGGGTCTGGGAACCAGCAAAAAGAAACCACTCACCCGATTCAAACAACCTCAAGGGTGAAGCAGCGTGGTACGCTTGCCCAGCTAAGAACACAGCAGCTGTTCTTGTAGTGGCACCGGGTAAAGCCGTTTGCCACACTCGACTGGTATTACCAAACCATTTCAAGCAGAATGAAGCCATTATGTATTGTCAAAGGGTATCCCTCTATGGTACACATTCATTTGATAAGCCTAAATCAAGGGGGAGTAACAGAAGCACTAACTGTGTTTATTGTGATGCTGTTTTTGCCTGTGCAGAAGGCAGGAGGGTTTAGGGGGAGGGGGAAGATTCAACACAAGTAGTTTTGTTCAGCACAGGAATGAGTTTTGTCAGCTAAGCCTGTCTCCAGGCTATTGGTGGAAATTAGCGCCGGCTAAATATTCGCTTTCCATGATTGATGTCACGGCTCGCGTTGTCCCTTTGAAGGGAAATAAAGAATTTAGAGCCATGTGGATTAATAGGGACAGGGTTGGGGAATTTTGTGTGTCTGAGGGGGACTTGAAGAGGGACTGTAGGGCCTAATGGCTGCACAGATATGGCCCAATGGAGCTGAGACGATATGGTGTATCAGAGAGTGAGAGAAGACAAGTGAGACTATGACAGTGAGTACAAGAAAGAAAATTGGAAATTGTTTGTGTGTATGTGTGTAAGAGAGAGAGAGAGAGAGAAAGAGAGATGTAGCCATTTGCCTGAGAAGCCCGGAGTCAGATGATTAAAATCCCTTTAGGAGGCTTCTTTAAGAGAGACAGATGGGCAGACGGGCCTGTTTTTGGAATGCAATCAAATTGAAAAGATTAAAAAGGAGTCTCTTTTATTAGGAGGTGAGAAACAGTTACTTCTCTGCCACATGCCATCATCGCCTCCACAGCAGTGGTCACGACTGCATTGGCATGCGAGGCACATTACAGCTCTTGTTGGAGAAGAAATAAACCTGGGATTAAGAATTGTATCTCAGTGTATAACTGTGGGGTCTCTTAATGAATGGCAGCATTTTCTAATTTCTTGTTGA